TTAGTATTATTTAGTATTATTACAGTATTACTGTTAAGTACTGTTAAATACTGTTAAGAACAAAAACACAATGTTTCCTTTTTCTAAGGCTCACTATGTGTTCTTGTTCTCCTTGGTGACTTGAACCTTTTGTCAGACAAACTACAGCCATCCTGCCTCCTCTCACTGTTATCCTTGGCTTCACATTCAACCAATGTGGACGTTTCTGGACCTGATCTTCAGCAGACCTATCCCAGCACTGGATATCACAACCCCCTCTTCACTGGTAAGAACAAAAATACAGTGTTTCCTTTTTCACATGCTCACTATGTGTTGTTGCTACTTTTCCCCACCCTGACTCATTTTCTTCTCTCTCCCCAGATACAACTTCAGATACTTTCCTTTTTCACTACTTTCACTCTCATCTGCAGTTAACCTCCTGGGTCCGTTCTCCTCCAAGCCAGCAAGACCTTCCCCACCTGCCCCCTGGCTGACAGGTGTCCTGTGCAGCAATGGGAGAGAACCAGGAATGGCTGAGAGCAGGTGGAGGAAATCCCAGGTTGACTCAGATCTTTGCTCCCACCGATCTGTCCTTCCCAAGTTCTCACTTGAAGTAACTCTTGCAAAATCCTATTTCTACAGAGGAAAACTGGAAGCATCAGCATCTGTTCCACTCAAGCATCTTCTCATCTCTTCGTAACCCTCCTTCTCCCTTACCCCCTCATCTCTTACCCTGGAGGATTCTCTCACCTTCTTTGAGGAGAAGGTTAATAGAATCTGCCAGTCTTATTCCTCCACTCCCCCATCAGTCCTCATCCTCTTGCTCTTAATTTCTTAACCTGCTTTTCTTCTCTCTCCAGAGATGACATCCTATAGTTACTCACATCCAGCAATCCAACCACGTGCCTGCTGGATCCCATCCCATCTTCACTGCTCCAGTCAATATCTGACTGCCCTTTATCACTTTCATCATCAACAGCTTCTTGTTATCAGGTCATGTTCCACCAGCACTCAAGACTGCCAGGGTGATTCCCATCTTAACAGCTTCGATGTCAGCACCTACTGACTGATATCACTTCTTTCTTTCCATTTAAAAATTCTTGAGCATGCAGCCTATAATCAATTGTCTCTCTTTCTCACTCAGAACCAGCTCCAGGACCCTAACCAGGACCTTCAAACCAGTGCACTCAACAGAAACTGCCCTCATAGCTGTGACTGAAAAGTTCCAGGCAGAGAGATTAACCAAACTATAATCAGTTCTGATCCTTTTTGACCTCTCTGCAGCCTTCTGTGTGGTCAACCACAAGATCCTCCTGTCTGACCTCTCCAACCTTGCATGGGTTCTGCATGGAAATGATTTGAGTTCTATCTGAAAGGCCTCTCTTCTCAAGTAAGATGGAGGGGGGCCACATCTGTTCCATGCACGCTCTCCGCAGGTGTCCCACAGGGCTCAGTGCTGGGTCCCCTTCTCCCTTCTCTCTACACTAATTCTCTTGGTGATGTAATATCCTCTAATGGCTTCTCTTACTGCTGCTATGCTGAAGACACCCAACTAATGCTCTCCTTTTCACCTTCTGATGCTCAGGTTTCCAGTCGCATCTCAGCATGTTTGACTGACATCTTGGTGTGATTCTGGATGGCCAGCTCATATCTCAGCTCATATTGCGAACCTGACTCAGTCATGCAGGTTTCTCCTCTACAACATCCAAAGGATACAACCCTTTCTCTTTTAGGAGGCACCCCAGGTGCTTGTTCAGTCTCTTGTCATCTCACGGCTTGACTACCACAACTCCTGGCTGGCCTTCCTGTGCAGGTCATCAGGTCCTTACAACTGATCCAGAATGCAGCAGTTCTTTTATGTCACTCTACTGCTACAATCCCTTCACCTGATGCTTGCCTACAAAGCCTAAAATGGACAAGCCCCTCCCTACTTTATGGCAATTGTCAAAACTCCATCTGTACCTTGAGCCCTTCGAGCTTCAAGTGCAGCTTGACTTGACTGGCCATCCTTTAAGATGCATCAAGACTCTTCTCTGTCCTAGCACACAAGTCGTGGAACAAACTTCCACCTTCATGGTCTTCAAACACAATGCCATTGAATGCCATTAAATAGAACTGTTGAATGTAGAATATTTTCAAATACAGAAGCTTTTTATTTCTGTGTAACTCATTCCATGAGAGCAATTTGGGTGCACAATATTAGTATTTCTAGGAATATAGTAAATTCGACAAACAATTCTCTCAAATATTAATAAATAACATTTTATAATGCAAATATAGCCATTTTTATTAACTAACCCAAATGACCAGTGTATAGAATTCCAAAAAAAAAGTTTTCTTTGGGAACTATTTTGCCTTGCAAATCTCTTCAGTGTACCTCTCTGCTTTGAATGTGTTTAAAAAAACCTCACCTCAAATATATCATGAAACAATGTATCAGACATCAGTCAGCGTATTCATGACCATTTCATGAAATGTCTTTCTGTGAGGTAACTTTTAGAACCATTAAACACTTGAGACATCTGGTTCCTATCAACACCACTGAGAAAAATTCTACCTGAGGTTTCTTTAGAATATAATATTTAACATCTCACTATCTGAGTGACTTTGTTTTCATCTTACCCACTGAATTATGTGGAAATTTTGAACAGCTGGAGAAATTTCCCTGTAGTAAACTAAGGTAAAATGCAATAGCCTATGTACAAATATATTTTGCTTACTTACCTAACTTAATTACCCATAAAATAATATTCTGTCAGGATAAGCAGCTTGATGAAGAGTAACACCATTTTGCTCCCTCAGAGGAGCAAAGATGGAAAACTAGTAAGTTCTGCTTTTGATAATTTGTTGTTAGTTCTACACTGAACTGGTCAACTTGCTCTACTGAGGGCTGAATACAGCCCAATTATAGAAAATAGATTTTGCTGCATATAGTCATGAACATTGCTGTCACTCTTATCATTTATTTAAAAACACTTTTGTTATTGATAACGTTCAGTTTACCAGACAAAGTCTTTTTGGCATTTGTTTTATGAAGGTTTTTCTCTGCTCTCAGACACACACCAAACACGAGTGCTCAGTTTGCATATTGTCGCTGTCCAATGAAAAACATGTTTTTTCTCCATTTTTTGCAATTTTTACTTTTCTGCATCATTTGAGCTCAGCAGCTGTCCTTTACATTATGTGAAAATTTCATAATGATTGGACCAATAGAAATGCTCCAAAATAGCTTAGCATAAAAACTTGTTCCATTAACTTACATTGAAAGTAAAGAACATTTTTCCTTCTCCTGTAAAACTATTTTGCAGATGCTTATTTTTCATTGGACAGCGACGATATGAAAGAATGCTTCACAGTCACAGCCTCACAGCCTCATTGGTCTCCTGTTGCGTATGTGAAAATGTCAAGACAAACATCTGACGCTACTTTAGTGAATCAAAGATAACACATGAATGGACCATAAGCATTTATTGTGCCTGCTGTGGCAATATATTTTTGGTTTCGGTTTAGTTTTTTTAATTTGCTGTGTTGTTTTTCCTCATCTTTGTTCAGCCATTTGACTTTAACTTATAGCGAAGGGTGTTGCAGTGTTTGTTGTTTTTATGTGAATCCAATATTCTGAATGATTGCCGAGATAAGTGATATTTTCACAGGGAGGAAGTGATGGAATAAGTAGGGTGATGACTGCATGGCTGTCACAAACAGGCTTCAGCCTCATATAATGACAGTGCAGGACTCTCGCAGTAACTTTTAACATGCTATCTAAAGGCTATCACATTAAAAGTCCCATATAATTCTACTGGTAAAAGGAGGTTGACTTTTTTATTTAAACACTAAAATATTTATTAAAACATGCACTTATCTTACTCCTACTAGTATAATTATCACTTTTTCTATCTCTACTACTACTACTGCACTTACTGCTAATAATAACAACTATTAACCGTTAGTTATTGACTTAAGACCACATTCTTATATATTACTTTTCCCCCAACATGTTAAAATCAGCTATTAAACAGTAATTGTGCACTGAAATGAGCAGAATATGTTCTCAGTAGAGGATGTGAACTTTGATTTGAAGATTGACAAAACATGTCATTTGACCAGGACCAGCCAAACTTTTGCACGAGTGTTTATGTTATGTTGTGAAAATTGATACGTTTGAGACCCTTTTCCCTGTATTTTTCAACTGCCCCCTTCCCTTGCAGAAGACCACTTGCCTTATGGCCCACCAATGATTTGAGTTTGAGACTCCTGCTATAAATACTGATCAATTTTTGAATTAAAATGTGAGATCACAATAATATTTTAATGGAGTAAATGCTTTATTATGAACAATAAACACATTACAGGTTTCTCTTTACAGGTTTCCCTTCTTCTTCTCTTTCACATATATATACACATCCTTACACTTACACAGTACAGCATTCTTAAAATTCATTAATGCATATGAAAGAATACACTGATCTGCATAAAATAAAAAAGCAACATCTGTCTGGGAAAAGTCTACCATCTGTCTGGCAAACAGCACTCCCATGTGAGTCTCACAGAACAACATTCAGATAAATGCAGCATATAGAAGGCGCGTCTTTCCAACACATTGTGCGCAGTGAATTGCAGTATAGACATTTGTGGATGAACTGCACTTAAAAAATAAAGACACTAACAGGCTGAAAATACGTCAGCAGTGAATACATTATGCCAAAGTCCATATATATGCTTACTCTATTCACTTGAATGGAAAAGTGTGGCATAATTAAATCACATTCATACAAGGATCTATTTATTCTTGTGTGTATACTTGGCTCAGAGTGAAGCTCAAAGAAGCTGTCTTGTGCACTTACAACCAACTATGATCAGTTCTCGCCTGGCTATAAATGCCTCACAGTGAGTAATACATTAAGGTTATGAGCTGCAGGCACCCAGTCATACGTAAGAATGGTCTATCTTGATGGCACTACTCTTGGTGACCGTGCTACAGCATAAAGACCACAGGAGTGCTCTCAAGAAATCTGTTTTTCATCATTTTGGCTCCAGAATAGTCTCCTCAGTTCAGTTTCCCTGCTTTACAGTGTTCATCAGATCTTGCACCCACTGCTGGCTGGGGTCAGCACAGAACGTCTTTGATCTCTTCGTCTTGAATCTTTATTGGAGACACAGAGAGAAGATATTGTAGATATAGTTCTACTGAGGCTTAAATTCAGACAAAGCACTGAGCTATAAATGGCCTTGCAAAAGCATAAATATGCACTGAAAGTTTAAAATAGCAAATTCATGCATTAATTGCAACATGGCTGTAGTTACATAGTGATTGAATTCAATCACAGACTTCCTGTGGAGGTTCAAGCAGTATTTTGGAAAATTCTTCACTTTCCCAGAACAGCTTGGGAAACTAGCCAGAACTTACACAATAGCTGGGATGTTGCATCCTCCATCAGTCTGCTGAATCCTGTAGCTCACAACTTTTTTTTTGATGGAATTTTTCATCCCACTGCCGTACCTCAAGCAGCAATTTTCATAAGTTCCTGTTGCAAAAAAAAAATTACAATAAAATTTAGTTTTAAGTAAATGTGCCATGTTTTACTGTAATATGCTGACAAATGGTTCTGCATTGTTTAAGAATTTGCCATCCTGCTGAGGTGCAAATGCACATTTCACAGCACTTAATCCAACAGAAAAACTACTGTACATTTTAAGTGACAAAACACAAGCGTGTCACAAGGGTTGTCTAGGAACCACTTTTCGTTCTCTAAAGAACCTTTCAAAAAATGGTTTTTAGAGAGTATGTTTTGTAAATGAGATTTGTGTGTGGATCGAACCTTTAAAAGGTTTTGAAAGAACCTCCACATAACCTATGTGTAAGGTTTCAAGCAAGAATGTTTAAAGTGGTATAGAAGCTTTAAATTAAGTTTAAAAGGTTCTTCACAATCACAAATGTCCTTTTCAATATATGGCACATATATACATATATACATACATATATATGTGTGTGTATATTGCTGCTGTCTGAACAAAACCTCTAAAATAGTTACTTTAAGTAAAAAACATACTTTACTGTTAATGTAAGTCAATGGAACCACACATTTCCGAATATTTTTGAGCCATTTCTTTTAGTCCAAAGATCAGGAAATTTACACACAATGTAAAGGGCATGTATGTATAGCAATTTGCATAATAAAAGTTATATGTGTAAATTATACATGCACAGAATAAACAGAATAATATACAGTTAACACATCCTCTTCTGCACATTTTAATGCACAATTAGTCTTTGCTGAATATAACATATTGCACATTATATATATTATATATTGTTTTTCCCAAACTCAGCGTACACATAGAACTTGTACAAAATTTTCAAGTTAGTTTACTGCAGACGATGTGATTTTCACTTCATCAACAAAATGTAATTTGTTCAAACTTTTGCATACAACTCTACACGAACTGATCAAACTTTATTCTGTAACATTGTGGTTAGAAACTTTGGCTTAACTGTAAATCAAATATGTTTAGAAATGATATTGCACAGCATGTGGGACAGTAACATTGAGACAATCAACAGTGAACTACTGTTAGTCATAAAGAACATCTGAGTTACCGCTCGAGCAAATTATAGTAAAATAAGCCCTTACCTTGTGCCAAGCTTGGACACATGCAAGCCAGAAGCAGGAGAAAAAAGAGAACATAGACCTTCATGGCTTCGCTCTGTTGTGTGATCTTATCTGAAGAAGAAGACAAAATGCACAGTTGACTTCTCCTCACAAGCCAGCAAAAGTGGATCTGATCCCTTTGAAGTGCAAACAATGTCTGCAGGTGGGATAAAATGAGCCTGGAAGACCAAATGTGGTAAGATTAAGTCAGATGGGAATACATACCGTGACAATGTCAGTGTCAGTGCTCTTGCTCAGCGTTTCTGAGAACCTACTGCACTTCTGGTCCTTTTGGGGGAGCTTTGTCCTTTTATGGCTTCTGGCAGTCCATGGCTCCTCCTCACATTTCACATCAAATTATGTAGATCAGGGGGTTCTCAACCTTTTCCACCCCATCTCTCTTTAGTTTTGAGGGATTTTGTAATTCATTTCAATTACTCAGACCACACTCACTGGGTTTTTGGATTAGATCACAATCAACAACACGAATAAACCTTTCTTGAAATCTGCTTCTTTGTCATTGGCTGATTAACTTGAATGTAACCACTCAGGGCGCTGATGCTTGCGTTTAATCAAACGTGAATCTTTGCTATTATTTTTAAAGCTTGCCTATCGTTTTAAAAGGAAGGACATGCGAGCAAATGAGAGTCTGTAAAGAGTCAGACATTAGGGCAGGCAGATTATGCTGATTGTACGGCGCTGAAAGTGCTGCTAGAAGAGGAGGAGAGCCAACTCTGTTGATGAATTCCCCCATTTGATCACAGAACACATTACCATCAGCAGTGAACTGAACCATGGTTTGTTTTAAGCAGACCGAGACCCGTTTTGCCGGAGCAGTTCAGCTGTTTGTTGCAGACCTGAGTACGGGTGGAATGTTCATACATGTCAAAACACAACAAACTAAAGAAAAGGTGCGATAGGTTGACACCAAACAAGATATGTGAAAGCACCCTAAGGAATTCCTGAGACAATGCAGCGCCCGTGGTTGTGTGGTCTCAAAGCGGCGATGGTTAATTAGCCTTCTGCAACATTTTTATTTGCATGCATATGTTTAAATAGTTTTTAATTTAAAAATGTTTGATTTTAGAGTTTTTAATTTTTAATTTTTAAGATAATCTTTTTTCCACTTGTGTTTTTATGATTAATGATGTTACTGGCCCATAACTACTGCCTCCCCAGAGTACAGACCCACAGGTTGGAAAACCTTGACGTAAACTGAATGAACCAGTTTCTCTTTCTAAATCCTGATGGAGCAAAAAAAAATGACTAAACAATTTGCTACCACCATAAAAAATCTGGTTATGCCACATGCTTGCCAGCTTTCGGTCTTCAATGGAAAATTACCCAATAAGTTTGATAGGGTCAGTTTGGTACCTAAAGAGGTTCTAAAGAGGACCTCAGTTAATGGCTTCTTTACAAATACTGAAGCTCCTGCTAAAGCCTGAGTAGACTGATGATGAATCAATGTGATGATCAGTTATTAATCTCAGCGTTACTGAAGCTCCTGCTAATGCCTGAGTAGACTGATAAATCAATAAGATGATCAGTTATTAATCTCAGCGTTACTGAGCTCTGCTAAAGCCTGAGTAGACTGATAAATCAAAGTGATGATCAGTCATTAATCTCATTGTTACTGAGCTCTGCTAAAGCCTGTGTAGACTGATAAATCAATGTGATAATCGGTCATTAATCTCAGTGTTACTGAGCTCTGCTAAAGCCTGAGTAGACTGATAAATCAATGTGATAATCGGTCATTAATCTCAGCGTTACTGAGCTCTGCTAAAGCCTGAGTAGACTGATAAATCAATGTGATAATCGGTCATTAATCTCAGTGTTACTGAGCTCTGCTAAAGCCTGAGTAGACTGATAAATTAGTGTGATGATCAGTTATTAATCTCAGTGTTGCTGAGCTCTGCTAAAGCCTGAGTAGACTGATGAATCAATGTGATGATCAGTTATAATCTCAGTGTTACTGAGCTCTGCTAAAGCCTGAGTAGACTGATAAATCAATGTGATGATCAGTTATTAATCTCAGTGTTCCTGAGCTCTGCTAAAGCCTGAGTAGACTGATAAATCAATGTGATGATCAGTTATTAATCTCAGTGTTCCTGAGCTCTGCTAAAGCCTGTGTAGACTGATAAATCAATGTGATGATCATTTATTAATCTCAGTGTTACTAAAAAAATAAAAATTAAAGATTAAGAAAATGCCAGTATGGTGAGGTAATTAGGTACAGAGTAAGGTGAAAATAAAGTAATAAGCAGTAAGATTAGTTCTTCCAAGAAGTATTAAGTAATGTAATTCCATTACATTTCGAGAAACATTGTTAGTAAATGGATTACATGTCTTGAGGAATTATCCCAACTCTGGAAAAATCTAAACTAACCTTATGTACCTGTTCAGCACTTTGACTCACTGAATAAAACAGAATTAGCTTTGGGAATGTAGCAACAAACTATTTGCTTTCCTCCATTTCTTTCTTTTTGTATTTTTTGCTACACTTTCTAACTTTGATTTTTAACTCGCCAAACAAATCACACCAAACAACCTTCTCTCCATATTGTAGATTTAGTTAATTGTCTCGTACGTACCAGTCTACCTTCATGCAGTTTTGTCATCACATAACAACATATACAAAATTTGTCAGTAACCTGGACACCCAAATTTGTAAATTTATTGTGAACTACTCTAAATGGTAATGTATGCAGAGGGAAATTATATGAAGCTAAATTCAAAGGAATAACTCACTTTTTAATTGAATTCATAGACAGAAAGCAATGCAAAAATGTCTAATGTTGATAAAACCAGAGGTAATGATGTCTTATGGTTTGAAATAAAAAAGCAAAAAATCATTCGCATAAAGTGACACCTTCTGTTCAATACCGTCTCTGCAAACTCCAGAACTCTTAGGCTTAAAACATAAAGCTACAGAAAGGGGCTCAACGGCAATGGCAAAAAAGCTGAGGTGACAAGGGGCAGCCTTGCCTAGTGCCTTGCAAGAGTGGAATACAACTTGAATATGTATTGTTAGTTGTAACAGATGTGCATGTGGAAGAGTACAAGACAAGGTTTTGACAAAATCCAAACTTCTCTAATGTATAGAAAATGTACTCCCACTCCAGATGGTCAAATGCCTTCTCTGCATCTAAAAATATAAGGACCTCTAGAAGAGTTAAAGATGAAAGACTATAGATTACATTAAGTAAACATCAAATATTGAAAAAAACAACATCTATTTTTAACAAAACCTGTTTGATTTGGAATAATTATGGAAAGAACAGATAACACTTTAGCTATCAATTTTGCTTCTACATTAATCAAAGATATTGGCTGATATGAACTGCACATAAGGAGATCTTTACTCTTCTTTAAAATTACGGTAATTGATGTTTGTGTCAATGACTGAGGCAAGCATTCAAATGATTCACTGAGCATATCAATTAAAAGCAGAGATAATTTATCCAGGAATTTCTTTAAAAATTCTACAGGGTACCCATCTGACCCAGGGCATTGCCACTCCGCATACTGCAAGGTGCCCTTTCTATTTTCTCAGATGTAATGGGCTTTTCCAGTTCTGAAGCTGAGGCTGCATTAAACATAGCATAGGAAGAGTATTAAAAATGCTTCAATTTCCAAAGAATCAGCTGATAGCTCTGAGTATGTAAAGAATTATAATAATCTTTTAACTGATCATTTATCAATTTCCAGTCAGTTGTAGTGCCTTAAAGCGTTGGATGTATGTGTCTGTCTGCCCTGCGATGGACTGGTGACCTGTTCAGGGTTTGTCCTGCCATCCTCCCAATGACCACTGGGATAGGCTCCAGCTCCCCCTCTGACTCAGAAGAATAAGCGGTTTAGAAAATGTGTGTATGTAGTGCCTGAAGGCATTTTAATTTGTAAAGAGGATTTCTGATGTAATTGATGAGCTAATTGTCGACAAAGGACATTATTGCAGACTTCAGAAGGACACAGATTCCTCACACCCCTCTGCACATCAACAGTATAAGGGTGGAGACAGTGCACTGCTCCACGTTCCTGGGAGTGCACGCCACTGACTGAATCTCTCCAGCACCTCTTCTTCCTAAGGAGACTGAAGAGGGCAGGCCTGCACACACCCATCCTAAACTACTTCTACAAAAGCATCATAGACAGCATTCTGACCTGCAGCATCACTGTCTGGTATGCAGACTGTCTCAGACAGGAAAGCACTGCAGCAGTCCATCACTGTGTCAAGCTTCCCTGCCATGAAAGACATCTACAAAGAATGGTGTAAAAAAAACCATGTAGCATCAGAAGGGCTCCCTCTCCTCCATCACATGGACTGTTTACACCACTCCCATCTCATGTACAGTGTCTTCCTTCCCTCAGGCAGTCAGACTGTGAATGGATCTACGTGATGGACCTTTAAACACATGAACTGCTACTTGATCCATACTACTCATTTTATCTGCTGCACTTTAACTTCTGCAGTCATCCAATCTTTGTGGTTGTATGAGTAAATATTATTGTTAATTAGTGCATTGATTAACAATATATGCACAACTGTTATTGTTGCTGTGGACCAACAGCTGGACTATTTTCTCTATTATTGTGTGCTCAATAGTTGAATAGTTGTAGTTGTTGTATATTTAAAGAAGAATTTATTGTATAGTGTTTGTATAGTTTGTCTTTATTTGTTGTATCTGTTTGCACCTTTGTCTGCTGCTGTTCTGTGTTAAATGTAGCACTGTATTCTGGATAAACTACATTTCACTCCTCTCTCAACACATTTGTGGTGAGAAGGAATGACAATAAAGCTAACTTTGAATACTCATACTAGTACAGTTCTACTCCTACTACTCCTGCTACTAATAATAATGATTATTAATTGTTAGTTACTAATATAACTTTGGCACAGACCACATTTATGTTTTATTTTCCCAAATATGTTAAATTTAGCAAAAAAAACAAAAAAAACCCAAAAAAAAAACAGTAATTGTGCACTAAAATGAGCACAATGTGTCCGCAGAAGAGGATGCGAACTCAAAATTGACAAAACATTTTACCAGGGCACCCAAACTTTTGCATACAACTGTACATGATATGTTGTGAAAATGTATACTTTGGAAAAGACATGAGACCCTTTTCCCCTGCATTTTCTCAATCTTAGAGAAGACCACTTGCCTTGTGACCCACCAGCAATTTGAGGTTCAGGTTAGGTTGAGGTTAAAATGTAAAATCACAATAATATTATTAACAATAGCTTAAAATTTGTCTTGAAAAACCAGAAAGGACTGAGCACTCAAACGTGAGTCTAACAGAACAACATTCAGATAAAAGCAGCATATAGACGACACATGATCTTTCTAAT